AGGGCTGTTGTGAATGGGTTTCAGTGGTTCCCAAAGCACCAGCGTGCGCAGGGACGGGGCTGGCTCTGAACCCCCCCAGCTCCCCGCAGCAGGAGGACCCTGCCCACCACGCCTCACGACCTGCAGCCTGGCCCTGGGGAGAAGGAACAGCCTGGGCCACTGTCATGTGTTTTCACACCCCAAAAATAACATCTGTTCTGGAGGGGGTTTGAAGCCATAGAGCTGCTCTGGCAGCACTAAAATCACACTCCTACGTGGACAGTTGTGTGGTTAATCCATCCGATACCACCCTTCCCTGCACTGCACCATCAGGCGTGCTCGCTGAACACCTCTACCCCTTGTGCAGCCAGGCTCTCCCTGGGGGAATCCTCACTGCGAGGGGCTTGGTGGAGCAATTCCTGCCTAGTCAGGAATCCACTCATTTGGAAGGGAAACTGTATTTATGGTTGGACTTACCTTGGTAAGTGGAAATGTCCTGAGTATCTCTACGTGGTCTTCTTAAGTTCATCCATGAATGGGGGGAAAAACAAAATACCCAGATTGGTCAAACAAACAGATCTTTGTCATTTCTAACTACAGTATGATGCTTTTTATTTATAGAAAAGCTGCTTTTGGTTGATGTTGGTACCTGTGGATGGAGGACTCCCTTCCAGTTACTTGTAATTTGAGTTCTGCTAACATAAGGTTGCTAACTCTGGTGATGACTACTTTGGGGGAAGGCTTATTAGGGGGGGGTTGTTACTTTTTTCCTTAGGAGCAAGACAAACACCAGTTCCACTGCACGAGTCTGGTGGGAACCCACCTTTGCTAGTGGCTCAAAACGAGCAGGAACATTTAATCTTCCGCTCAGCTCCATCCCTTGGGGGTCTGCCGGAGCGCCGCCGCGCCCGCGGGGCCTCCGTCAGCACCCGGTGCCCGTTGGGTTTGTTACCAGCTGGTCCTGCCCAGCCTTCCCTGGAGGAGCCAGCACCTCCTGAGGGAAGGGCAGCAGCAGCTGGTGGGGGGCAGGCAGCGTCCGCTCGGATCGGCTCCCGACTATTGACACGTTTGCACTTTGAGACAGGCGGCCGATCGCACGGAGTGCCAGGTCTGTGCACAGCACGGGAAAGGGCTGTTAGCAAACGACACGCCGGGCACAGCTTCCCCTTTTCCTGAAGGGCCGAGTGCTTCCCGAGCGAGGGGTGAGGGGAGAGCAGTGGAGGCGGGGCAGGGGGAGGCTGGGGAGGGGGGGGGGGGAGCCTGGGAAGGGTGGAGCCGGCTCCCTGTGCCGCTGGAAGCGTCATCACCATTGCGGATGCAAAACCGATTCGTCACGTTAACATTTGAAAGTAATGTTTCTGAATAAAGTTAACTGCCTAATGTTATATGACTTCCACTAAATATGTGAATTTGCTGCTTCTAAGAGGCAATGTGAAAGAGGAAGTATTACTTTTGTGTACAAAGTTATTTATTTATTAGAAAATTTGGTACAATGTTGTACATTGAAAAACATGTAAGATATTGAAGTGTCTAACAAACGGCATTGAAGTGTCTTTAATAAAGGTTCATTTATAATATTACAGCTGTTTTGTTGAGAGTGAGCTTTTGGGAGTTTCAGTTGAAAATTAAATAAAATTCTAATCCATTACTATACTCTTCTCTGTCTTTCTCTGACTGGAGCACAGACTAGCTGCCAAAACACCCGCTCGTGAAATCAGACCCACAACTTTAACTACAGCCCCCAAATTCCACCCCAGCCACAAGTCAGGCTGCCAGAGTCTCGTGCTGATCCACAGTACCTCATGTTAAAGACACAGTAAAGAGCTCATGAGAAAGACATCTCTGCTTAAGCATCTGGCAAGCACCCTCATCTTGGCTCTGAAAACAGACCACAACAGGCCAGGATAGCAGCAGACTCCGCTGCAGCTTTGACCACCTTTGCCTTTCTCAAACCCAAACCCCACCTTGTGTGGAAATTCCAGAGGCAGGTTTGGAGGTAAGCTTCATTTCTGGCTTTAACGAAAAATAATTCAATCCGGTTTCTACATGGTTAAAAAAATTATTTCCTCCTTCAAATTATAACTTTGTCTATAAAGCAGATTTTCTGAGACTACTCTGATAAGTCCCTTAACACATGTAGGAGTTAAAGGCTCTTTTCTATTTTAAAATATTTTTAAGAGGCTGGTGCCTGCTTAGAGAGTCAAGTTTTGTTATTCCACGTTATCCCAGGAATGGGCTAAAATTCTTTTTTCAAGTTTTGGAAGACTTTGAAACATCATTAAAACTCCAGGCAAAGAGAACAAAAACAAACACATTTTTTTAGGTCTTTTTTTTCCCCTCATAGTCTCAGAAGTAAGTGTTTTATTTTGAGCAGGATTAGCCAGACCTCTGTGTGTGGAACAGCCCTGGCTGGGGCTCTCACCTGCCTGGTGCTGATCCCTCTGTCCACCAGCCCACGGGACGGGAAGCGCTGGGGTCCGGCTCTCCCTCTGCCATTGGGTTGGCTACAACTTGGCCAGTTGTTCAGGGCTTTTGCTTTAGTGTTTTTTTCAATAAAAAGCAGTGATGACAAAAAAATGATTATGCAAATATTAAGGAAAAACAACAAAAAAACACCAGCATTCAACCCCAAAGTCTGTGAGGCATGATCAGCTGCAGTAATTAAATGCACCAACTGCAGCGCTAACCCGCTCCTCGTGTTTAAAAAGCACTAATAGAAAAATGTTAGAGCTTTTAAGACAGAGTAATAAATCTGCCCACATGCCCCCACTGACCCTGAAATTGGTTCTGTTGGATAGACACAGAATGTCATAAAAGAGACAGACACCCCTCAAAGAGCAGGAAGTGCTGCTGCACTATGCCATGG